GCGCCCACGCGGGGCACCGCCCGACCGCTCCCCCACGCACCACTGATTGCAGCCGACCGCGGTGACGCTGCCCGTCCGGTACTCCTGGCCCCCGAACGAGCAGGGGCAGTCGTCGGGAAGGACGCACTGGCCCCTCGAGTCCCTCACCATCCCCACCGGGCAGTAGCAGCCGCGCTTGCAAGGCACGTTCTCCTGCGGAGAGAGCCCCGTGAGACCCCGCAGGCCAGGCGACCCCGGGCACCCCCCACTGCGCACACGGGCGCCAGGCGGGGGCTTCTCTGCTCGCACCGCCTCCCGCCCGTCCCTCCTGCCCGGACCGCGACTCACGTCGAAGGTGGGGATGTTCCGGGTGCTGCAGGTGCTGTCCGCCCGCCTCTGTGCCTTCGGGTCCCTGCAGTCCACGTACTCGGCGCCCCCCGAGCAGTTCTCTGCAGAGAAGGGAGCCCGTGAGCGCGGCCATGGCCCCAGGGGCGCCTCCCCCTGACCCCGACACCTACGCTGCGGTAAGTGGATGGGCGTCCGGCAGAGGAGGAGTCCGTCCCGGCAGACGCTGGGCAGGAGGAGAGGGGCACGTCAGACCGCGGCTCCCCGACGCCTCTGGCGCTCCTCGCAGCGCCCACCCTCGCCCGTCAGCCATCTGCTGTGCCTGGGTCGGCCGGTGGGGCGCAGCCCCCACATGACGAGAGAAGGGCGTCGACTGGGCGCCCCGGCGGAGCCAGACCCCGGCGGATGGGGCATGGGGGCTCAGGGAGGCCCGCGGCCCCACGGTTAGACACAGTCTGCGGGCCGGGAGGGCGCCATGGCCGGCCCAGGTGGGCGGAAGGCCGATGGCAGGAGGACGTGTGGAGGTGAGCGTGGCCTCAGAGCACGCTGTGTGGGCTGCGGACACACACGGAGCTTCCCAGCAGGCTCCGGGCAGGACCCAGGCCTGGCAGAGCGCCCAGCCCGCCGGGGCACAGTGGGCGGGAGGCCTGGCTTCCATTGCAAAGTGAAGCTAGTGGACGCCCAGCATCCACAGAGGAAGACCGTGCGCAGCTCCCCTTTAAACGGCTGGGCAGGACCAGGCCTTGCACCGACCAGCTGCAGGCCGGAGACGGCCAGGGCACCCTGCGCTTCCCTGGGCAGCTGCGCTGCAGCCCACTGCTGAGAACCACGCTGTGCACGGAGTCAGGCGTGGGCGAGTCACCCGCACATGCTAGCCAGTGCTCAGCCTGCCTCCCGCCCAGCCCTAGCCGGCTCCAGGATGGCCCAGTGCTGGCAGCCGCACGGCACCTGCCAGGCATGTCCTGAAGGGTGTCCTGCTCAGGGCTGGCCAGCCCACACCCCAGGGGCTCGCTGGGCTGAGGAGTGGCTGGGAGGGGTCTGCACGCAGGAGCCGGCGGGAGCCACTGTGGCGCCCAGCCCCGAGGAGGAGCCGGCGGGCAAGGGCAGACCGAGGGCACCGCCTACCATTCGTTGTCGTCCAGGTGGATGAGCCTGCCGGGCCGCAGGACCTGGCCGTCCAGGTAGCAGTCGCACTGGGACCTGGGCACGCAGTGCCCCCCACTGTCCTGGTAGGTGCCGTCAGGGCAGGCGCAGCCATCCACGGGGACATCCTCCACGTCGCAGCTCCTGTCCCTCTCCGACAGGGACCGGCAGGAGCTGTTGCAGGCTTTGACGTTGTACTTGAAGACGAGGCCGCTGGGGCAGGAGTGCTCTGGGGGTGGGCGGGCGTGTGAGCGGCACTTCCTGCCCGGGGCGGGA